AGTGTGTAAAGACGTTCATTTGATCTCATAAAAGACACGCCTCGCACGGAAATGGCGATGAGGTGAAGCCCACAGCGACCGCGCTCAACAGCTCTCTCACCGGCAGATTTCGCCCGCGCGGCAGACCGCACTTTCATCGCGCGTTCTCGCCGGACGGACGTTAGCCGGCAGGCCGCGAGGGCAGCTGGTTCGGCGGCTGATCTGGGGTAGACGCGTCTACCGCGGTCTACCAAGTCTACCGGTAGACTGGGGTCGTAGGTTCATTACGGTCTACCGGTAGACTGCGGTAGACTCGTCTACCAAACGGTCTACCGTCACCCGGTCTACCGGTAGATGGTAGACGGGCCACCCCTCACACGGTACAATTAGGCAAGGCAGCTGCGCAGGTGATGGTCCTGTTTGCAGAGAAAGGAGTCAAGGAAGGCCAAGAAATCACATGGTCATATGGGGACTCATACAGGAGCCACCGCGGCTTTCGCGAGATACTGCGAAAAGATAGACGTGACGAAGGAGGAGCTAGCGTGGAACTTTGGATGCATATCGGCAAGCCAAAATAACGAGCCAGAGGCTGTCCTGGTGCGTGAGCTAATCCTTAGCAACAAACAGTAAACGACTGTACCAGCATAGTCGAGCCGCGTTGGTGAAGCCGTCTGTCTCGAGAGTCAGGTCTCGGGCATTGCCGTGTTCCAACTTCCTCGTCGCCACGCTCGCAGCCTGCCCCACAGCTCGTTTGTTGTTGTCACAGCTCCCAAATAGTCGCTGTCGCACCCCTAGAAATCAACGCCGAATTCCACCCTATCACCCCCCTATGGGTGTCTAGGGCGATCGGCACGGGGTGGAGACGGTGGCGGAGGGTAGACGGGCGGGGCTGTGGGGCATGTGCGGGCGATGGGCGGGGTGGGTGGCGAGGGCGACGGGGCTCCCTCGAGTCGATGGGCGAGGGTAGCGGGGAGGTTATGTGGCAGGGTGGCCACGAGGGCGGAAGAGGGTGTCGGGCGGTCGTGTGGGTCGGCGGAGGTGGCGCTGGCAGCGGCGGCGTGGTCGGCGGCGATGGCGGGCGGTATTCTGGGTGTGGAAGGGTCTCGCATGCTTTCGTCGCTGCCTGTCTGGTGGCTGCAGAGTCGTTCCCATGAATGCTTAGAGCCGTCTGGGTTGTTGCCTGTTCTCCTCAGCCTTAAGGTCTGAGTAGGCCTGGTCTATGGCTGCTGTGAAGCTGTCGTTCAGGGTAGAGTTCCCCTGTTGGTCGATGCTAATAATTGAGGCGAATTTTTTCCTGTTGAGTGTTGTCTTCTGAGACCACTTCCCTGCCACTTCCGTGAGGGACGTGTGCAGGCGGTGTGTGTACTGGAGTCGGATCTTGCCGCCATATCGTCTGACCGCGCTTCGGAAGGAGGTGAGGGCCCTGTAGTAGACTCGCTGCCATATGAACATGAAGCCCTTGTCGACGTTGGCGAAGTCGTGATAGAAGATGTTGAAGGCGTGGCGGATGAAGGCGCAGGCCGCTTCGGGGAGCAACGTGTCGTAGTTCTCTTGGTTAAAGATAATGGCTCTATGTGTCTGCGGGCGTACTGGGCCCTCCAGGACATCTCGGCAGAATGTTAGGCACTTTTTCCACAGTGGCTTACAGTGCATACACTCGACTAGGTGTAGCATGCTCTCCTCGGCCACTCCACAGAGGCGGCACTTTTTGTCTTCTAGGTGGGCCGGGTTGCGATTGCGGACGTTGAGGGCCCTGTGAACATACTTCCTCCACTGTCTCTCCTCGGTGGCGTCTGAGAGCTCGGTTCCGAAGGAGCCAAAGACGAGGTCGAAATTAACGTCGAATCTAATACCGTGAGTCGTCGACTTCCAATTCTCGATACAGTTGTGGGTCGGACATCTTTGGTGATCTTGGAGGTGAGGTGATCCGTAATATTGTGGATTGTGAGATCGGAGAGCTTGCGGTGTTTGCCGTTTTCTGGTCCCTTTTGCCCTTTCATTCGCCATCCCAAGTTTCTCGGGTAGACTCGGTGGAAGCGATCATGTGGCCCGTCGGGTCGATAGTGTTGCCAGTTCGGTGGGGCCTGTTCGATGTGTCTAGCCAGAGCTCATGGTATGTGATCGTCGGTGCTTGGCCTTGTGGCGGGCTGTCAACTTCTGCGTACGCGTAGCTGATCTCGTGGGTGTCATAGTTGATGACGGCGACTATTTGTTTTGTGAGGTCGCTCTCAGGCGGGGCCTCGGCGGCCTCCCAGAGATTCATTTCTCGTCTGTTGCCCCGAAGACTCTATCTAGGTCGTCCATCATGCGGTCTTCCATCTCATCGGGGGCGAGGTCTGTGAAGAAATCCTTCCACTCGTTCTCATCGAAGGGGGTGCCTTCTCGGTCTATGAGGTCGAAGAAGTATGCAGTCTCCATCTCGTCCGTCCACAGCTCGACTCTCGCTTGCGGGAGATCTATCTGGAATCTCCAGTTATTCCATAGCGGCTCGGCTTGGATGTGGTGGCCGAGGAGGGAGCGGTTCTGTTTTATTTGGAGCTGCTGAAAGGCGACAAGGCATCGCTGTAGGTAGGGCGCGGTGCTGGGTATCTTGTTGACTGTCAATTCGTCCCAGGTTCTTTTGGCTTCGCAACTCTAGTACGGATCTGCCAAGGACGTCGTCGCTGAGCCAGTGAGATCTGCCACTTGCTTCCATGGAGCCTTCCTGGGGCACCAACTCCCACCTGAACACTGCGGTTTTTAGGGATTTTTTAGCGGGCGCGACGCGTTTTACTACTGTTCCTTTTTACCCATCTCACAGTAGAGAGGTGTCCGTTTTTATTTATTTTATTTACTACAAAAGAGAACAGCGCTTGGCGCGCAGCAGCCGGTGCAGCTTCTAGAGCGCATTGATTGCGCCCATCAAATTGACGCGCTTGCCTCCGAAGTGCAGCTCCGAGAGCGTCGCCTCGAAGTCGGCCTGCAACTTCTTGACCTTCGCGACCGCCGCCGCATACCGCGGGCGCGCCTCGGAGAGCTCAAGGCGCAGCTCCGCCTGCCGCGTGGCGAGGCTGCCCGCAAGCGCGCCCATCTTGCGCGCCGAGTCGAGCTGCTGCCGCAGCGACGCCTCCTGCCGTTCGAGGTACTTCGGCTCACCGAGCAGCAGCAAATGGCGCGTGTGCTCGCCCTCGAGTTCGGCACGCGCGCGCCGCACGCAGTCGCGCCGCGCCTACGCGCCCGCTCCGAGAAGGTGCCGAGAAGGTGCCGAGAAGGGTCCGAGAGGGAGCGCGCCCAACGCTGCCGCGCCGCGCCTCAATCTGCGCGCCGTCGAGCTCTAGGAAAGGTCTGGGAAAGGTCTGGGAAAGATCTAGGAGAGGTCTAGGCGCCGCACCTCGATCTCCGCGCCGTCGAGCTGTAGCGCCGGCGGAAGCCCCTCGCTCGACGGCGCCTGAGGACATGTCTAGGAGAGGTCTAGGAGAGGTCTAGGAGAGGTCTAGGAGAGGCCTAGGAGAGGTCTAGGAGAGGCCTAGGAGAGGCCTAGGAGAGGCCTAGGAGAGGCCTAGGAGAGGTCTAGGAGAGGTCTAGGAGAGGTCTAGGAGAGGCCTAGGAGAGGCCTAGGAGAGGTCTAGGAGAGGCCTAGGAGAGGTCTAGGAGAGGTCTAGGAGAGGCCTAGGAGAGGCCTAGGAGAGGCCTAGGAGAGGCCTAGGAGAGGCCTAGGAGAGGTCTAGGAGAGGCCTAGGAGAGGTCTAGGAGAGGTCTAGGAGAGGTCTAGGAGAGGTCTAGGAGAGGCCTAGGAGAGGCCTAGGAGAGGTCTAGGAGAGGTCTAGGAGAGGTCTAGGAGAGGTCTAGGAGAGGTCTAGGAGAGGTCTAGGAGAGGTCTAGGAGAGGTCTAGGAGAGGTCCAGGAGAGGCCGCCTCTGCCCGCTGGCTCAGGAAGCCATCGAGCTCGTGGAGGTCGTCGAGCAGCTCATCGCGCAGCGCCTATTTGATTTCATTGGGTTTGGGTACCGGGTCGGTAGGGTGGAGGTCTTCGCGCAGCGCATCACGCAGCGCCTGTGGACATGTCCCAGCCATGTGAGGGACGCGTCATGGAGGCGTCGGTCGGCCGTCCAGACAGGCAGCAGCGCTGTCGTGCGGCGCCTCAACCTCAAACGTCTCGAACAGCGTCGGCTCGCCGCCGCCGCCGCCGCCGCCGCCCGCGTCGCCGCCGCCCGCAACCTCGATCTCGAAGCCGCCCGCCTCGACTGTCCAGTCCACCTCCGCGCCGCCCGCGCCGCCCTCGCCGCCCTCGCCCGCCTCGATGCCCCAATCGACTCCGCCGCCGCCGCCGCCGCCGCCGCCGCCGCCGCCCGCCTCGACCTCGATCGCCCAATCGACGCCGCCGCCGCTCTCCCCACCGCCGTCCGCGCCGCCCTCCGCCGCCTCGGTTCCCTCCTCGCCCCCCCAGTCGACCCCGCCCTCCGCGCCACCACCGCCACCGCCGCCGCCGTTTGCGCCGCCGCCGCCGCCGCCGTTTGCGCCGCCGCCGCCGCCCGCCGCCGCCTCGGCCTCGGCCGACGCCAGAGCCGACGACGCATCAAGGGCTTGCACTTTGCGCAACCGCGCCAGACTAGTCGCTGCAACCTCATCCGCGTCCGCCACCGCCGCCGGCGCCGCAGTGCCGCCGCCCGCCGCGGCGCCGCCGCCAGCCCCCTCGCCGCCCGTTGCCCCCTTCGCCTTGCCCTTTGCCTTGGCCGCCTAGGCAGCGTTCTCTTTTTGTGTTGATGTGCATGTGCATGCAGGATTCGAGCTGTCCGGGGGGAAGGGTAGGGGTCCAATGCCGGGTTTGGGGTAGGGGGGTAGGGGGTAAGGGCTCAGCGGCGAGGCCCGACGGAGGGTAGGGGGGTAGGGGGTGCCGGTGTGAGGTGCTTGTGAATTACGTTACTGTGAAGTCCGCAGGGCAACGCCACCTCTTGAGCTGCCGTCTGTGAGGCTCTCGTGTCGAGCGGTCCGGGGCCCACCTCTCCCCCCCTCTCCCCCCCTCTCCCCCCCTCTCCCCCCCTCTCCCCACATCTCCCCTGTGATCTTTTGTGTCCGGCGGTCCGGGACCCAGCGACTCGCCCGGCGACAGCGTGTGTGGCCTCGTGTCGGCTCCCGAGCCAGTCGCGCGCGCAGCGTGTGTGCGCGCGCGTGGGCCCCGTCCTCGATGCCAGGAGGCGTGTAGCACGGACAGGAAGGGTGTGTGTGCGCGTGTGTGTCGGCCGTCCTCCGTGCTAGCAGGTGTGGGGAGATGTGGGGAGATGTGGTGTGTCTCACGGGCTGGCGGACTGCCTTGCCAGCCCTGTCCGCGCCGTCCGCCGTCACGTCGGGTGGCGCCGCCTTGGCGCCGACGTCGGCGCCGAGCCTGGCGGCGGCCTAGCACCATACCTCCACAGTCTCGAACCCAGTGTGGGTTCAGTCCCATGGGTGGTGCGGTAGCCGCTCCTCGAGGCAGTGGCGGACGTACGCGAGGTAGTACTCGACCGCCCCACCCATCTCCTCGCTCTGGCAGAGCGCCGCGACGCGCGCGAACCTGGTGTCGACGCGACAGGCGTGGGGTCTGAGACGGTGCGCAAACGTCGGCCCATCGCCCGTGCTGCGGGGAGATATGGGGAGATATGGGGAGATATGGGGACAGACATCGAGCTGCAAGGGAGGGACGCGGTATTGTGCAGAGTGCTCGTCGGAGCCCGTGCTGCGGGGAGATATGGGGAGATATGGGGAGATATGGGGAGATATGGGGAGATATGGGGAGATATGGGGAGATATGGGGAGATATGGGGAGATGTGGGGAGATAGGGGGAGATATGGGGAGATATGGTATTGTGCAGACTGCTCGTCGGAGAACACGGGTGTGCATGCGGCATCTGGGCATCCGAGCGTCGCGCGCAGCAGCGAGCGCGACTCGCGCAGCCGCCGCCCGATCTCCTCGCGGGAGCAGTCGGTGCCGAGGCCCTTCTTGTCGCACGCAGCGACGTAGCGCTCCTCGGCCGCCGCCGCCAGCCGCTCGTACTCGCCCTGCCGCCGCACAAGCTCCGACAGCTCCTTCTCGGCGCGCGCCGCCTCCTTCTTCAGCGCGGGCAGCTCGTACCCGACGGCTTGCGCCATCGCCGAGGCGGCGTCGGCGAGGTGGATCGAGCCCGCCTCGAAGCGGCGGACGATGTCCGCCCACTGCGCCGTGTGCGCGTTCGAGTACCCGCCGAAGAGCGTCTTCTCGCCCAGCCCGGCGTCGAGCAGCGCCTGCATCACCGCCTTGGCGTCGAAGTACGTGAGCGACGCCCGCTCTGTCCCCGGCGGCACGAGCTGCGCGACCGCCGGCGCCTCGGCCGGCCGCTCGGCGGCGAGCGCAGCGGCGAGGCGGGCGTGCACGGTGCGCAAGCTCTTGGTGTAGCTGGCGCCGACAATCCGGCGCTCCAGCAGCCACTCGGTCGTGCGGTCGAAGGGAATATCGACCACCTCCATGCGGCCTGGCGCCCTCGCGAGTAGGCTGCACACCCACGCTCTTGGAGCAGGAGCCCCGCCCCACGAGTCCCCGAAAACCCCTTCGCGGAGATGGGTCCTCGGAGAGGGTACCCTCAGTGAGTTTAAGGTCGGCGCGTCGGACGCCAGGGGCGACCCCAAACGATCCGCGACTCGGGAGATCAGGTGAGATCACATCACACATGAAAGTTGGAAGTGTCTTGTCTCAGATCGATCGAGCCGTCGGTGGACTCGAGTCGTCGAGTGGCGGCGGCGGTGGGCGGTGCGAACCTGCACCTGGCGCTTTTGTCTTCGTCTTGGGAAGGCACACAGTAGGGGGCTCGCACAAGCAGGAATCGCACACGCGCGCTACCCGCTACACCCGGTCCACGCTCGCCCCGCCGCACAGGATCGCGCGCATCTGAAGATTCAAGCATGCTCAAACAGAGCGACGCCGCCCGGTGCGGCCGCGTGCTCTCCGAGCGAGTGCTGGGGGAAGTTGGTGCGGCACACGGGGCAGGTGATGCCCCGCTTGGCCTCGCCGGGCTTGTTGTGCAGCCGGTCCAGCACGCTCTCCGTCGGCACAAGCCGCTTGAGGCAGTCGGTGCACAGGAAGTGGGCGCACGGCAGCTGCGACGGGTTCTGGGCGAAGTCGCGCTCCTCGTGGCAAATCGGGCAGGTGAACGTGCGCCCAGCCATGTTGACGCACAGCCGGACCATGTCGTTCTTCTTGCAGCAGCGCGCCCAGTGGTTCGGCACCATCGTGGCCGTCTCGTTGATGCAGAGCCACGGCAGCGCGGCGAGCTCGTCGATGTTGGTCGCGTGCATATTCGACGCGGGGCCGTAAAACTCGCGATGCGCCAGGAAAAAGGGAGCGGTCTCCGGCGTGCTCTGCACAAAGAGGATGACGTCCGAGGCGGCTGCGGACTCGTCGCGGACGGCGGCGGCCTTCGCGGCGAGCTCGCCGTCCTCTTCCTCGACCATGGAGGCCATGGAGGCCACAGTCGAGACGAGCCCGAGATCGTGCATCATGTGGAGAAGCTGGACGACGTCGCTGACCGCCGCCACGAGCGGCGTCCAGTCGAGGACGACGCGCTTCGAGCCCGCCTGGCGCAGCTCGGCCTGCAGTGCTGCGGCAAACTCGGCGGAGGTGCAGTTGAAGTCGTGCGGAAAGGCGGCCTTCTCCGTGTCGACGGCGACGACGTTGCGCATCTGGCAGGAGATCAGCTTGCCCGTGCCGTCGAGGCGCACGCTGTAGCGCCGTTTGCCGTCCGGATTCCATTGGACGACGCGTCCGTTCTGCCCGTTGAGCCGAGGGGCGCCCTTGAGGCCTTGCAGGCAGCAGCGGCCACCTGCCGTCGGCGCCTCGGCCTCGGGCCGTGGCGAGGTGACGACCGAGCTCGCCACCTCCTCGACCAGCGTCGCCAGGTCCGCCCCTCGCAGCGCAAGCCGGATGAGCCTGAAGAGCGCCGCGCCGCGTTCCCGCACTTCCTTCCTGCGGAGCCTGCTCGAGGTCGCGTCGAGCTCGTCCTTGAGTTGGCGCGCCGCCTGCGCTTCGCTGATGTCGCCCGACGCAATGCGATCGGTGAGCGCGTCCACAGAGGACTCCAGATTGCTCTCGATGGCTCTCTGAACGAGCTGATCAAAGTCGCAGCAGGCGTCGAGGATGGCCACCACCTCCGCGCGCCCCTGCGCCGAGGCCCACGCGCGCGCCGTCTGCTTGGACGAGGTGGGCGCGCTCGGCAGCTTGAAGGGCGTCGACACGTCGGCCTTCGCCTCGAGCAGGAGCTTGACGATCGAGGGTGCGACTCGCGTGTTGCCCGCGCACGCCGCCGCCAGCGGCGTGAACCCCTCGTGCAAGGTCTGCGCATTGACGCTCGCGCCGTGCGAGAGCAGCGCGTGCAACACAGCCGCGCCGCGGCCCCACTCGACCGCCGCCATGAAGGAGGTGTACCCCGAGCTGTCCCTGCGATCGATCTCGAGCTGCCCAGTGGAGGCGAGGGCGCCGATGCAGCGGACGCGTGCCTCGTCCGTCAAGAGCCTCGACTCCTGCATCGCCATCATCAGCGGCGGAGCGCCCTCGCCGTCGGGGCAGTTCACGTCCGCGCGGTGCTCGAGGAGGACGGCGACGTTTGAGTGGATGCAGCTGCTGCACGCGAGGTGGAGGGCCACCGCGCCGCCCGGCGTGCGCGCGTTCGCGTCGGCTCGGCTCTCGAGCAGCGCCCGGAGCACCTCGGGCATTCCCTCGATGTTGGACGGGTCGTGCGATCCGTTGGGGTCCTTCTTGCGCATCATTCCGCCGGCAAAGGCGAGGAGGTGCGTCGTCGGCCCCGAAGCCGCCTGGTTTGCCGGCGTGGGGAATGGGTGCATCAGGTCAAAGTCGCGCCGGCGGATGAGGTCGCACGCCCAGAGGATGGAGCAGCCGGTGTTATTGAGCAGCGCCCACACCTCAGAGGGTCGCACGGGAGTGGCGGCCGTCCGGGCCGCAGGAGAAGCGGCGGCGGCGGCGGCGGCGGCGAGCGCTCCTCCGTCGTCCGTCACGTCCACCGCGGCGTCGTCGCCAGCCGGTGCCACGTTGGCGGGCTTGAGAGCAATGTCCTTGCCGCTATGCAGCGCGGTTGAGTACCGGCCCGTCGTCCGATCGAACTCGAGGACGGTGGCGAGCTGACCGTTGAGCTCGGGCTTCGCCTGCAGTCCGAGCAGGGTGACGCGTGTTCCGGGCGCGAGGACAGCCGAGGGCGCGTCGACGAGCGGCTTCGCGAGCAGCGCGACGGTCGCGCGATGGCCGCCTTGGCCCGCCATGTCGCTCGGCGTCATGTCGTCACACGCGACGACCGTCGCGTCCGCGCCGGCTGAGAGAAGCAGCCGCACAATGGCCTCGTGCCCGCCGGCCGCCGCGACGCCGAGGGGCGTCGCGCCGGAGGAGAAGCGCGCGTCGACGGTCGCGTGCGCGCGAATGAGGATGCGGCACGCGTCCACGTGGCCATTCTGCGCCGCCTTGAAGAGCGCGGTCGCGCCATTCGTCTTGCACAGGGCATGGTCGGCGCCGTGGTCGAGGAGGAAACGAGCCTCGGCCATCTCGCCATCTTGGCACGCGAGCATGAGCTCGGTGCAGCCGTCGGGATCGCGCTTCAAAGCGTTGATGTCCGCCCGCGCCTCAATGAGGAGATGAGCAGCGTCCAAAAAGGACGGCCGAGCAATGCTGCGCTGGAAGGCAAAGCATTGGTCGAGTGCCGTCGTCTCGCCCAACATGGGGTAGTTCACCTTGCTATTGGGATCGGCGTGCGCGTCGAGCAACAGCTTCACGCACTGAAGCGAGCCAGATTGCGTTGCGATCATCAGTAGCGGCAGCGTCGATTGCGGCGTTCCGGCATTCTGGCCCATGTACTGGAAGCGCATCTGAAAGGGCGCGAGAGCATTGGGCGAGACGCCGCCTTGCAGCTTGGACGTCAGTACTGTCTCGTCGTTGGCCGCCGCTGCGAGCGAGGCCACCTGTTCGTCGGCTCTTGATGCGGGCATGCGAAGGGTGCGGAGAGAGGCGATGGAAGGCCGGCAAGTGCGGGGGCCGTCGCGTTGGCACAGGTTCCGCGGCGCGTGCGTTGCATCACGGGAGAAACTGTGAATTCATGTATACCAATTTTTTTGTCTTAGATCCGTGTTTTTTTGGTCTTTGCGGTACATCTCTCCGCTCGCCACCTCACGCTCCGCCGTCCGGCCATGGATGGTCCGATGGAGCTCGCCGAGCTCCATCGGACCATCCAACTCCGGTCACCGAGTCTGAACGCGCTCAGCCTCAGGAGGTACCAAACCGCGCGAATTCTGCACGCCTCGCTGCACCGCTGGCTTGACTGAATCAGGCAGCAGCAGGCTGCTGCTGCTGCCACAGCAGCAGTCTGCTGCGGCCCTAATACGCAAGTTGATGACTAGCAGCACTGCCGGGGGCATTCGAGCCGCCACAGCCGGTGTGCGGCTGTGCACTGCCACCTGCCCGCGGCTACGCACAATGTGCGCTCGCATTGGATGAGCCCTGCTGATGGACCTGCATCGCCTAGCTGCACGAGAGCAATGCCGCAGGCAGTGGCCGTGGCATACACTGCGAGCACACTTGGTGCAGCTGCGAGGTGCAGCAAGAGCACGTCGTTCCTGCCTCTGATGCCACTCTCGCGGCTTGCAGCGCGTCACTCGCGCATGCTCTCCAGGAGCTATGGCGGTCGCGTGTGTGGGGCTGTAGCCTGTGTTTGGCCGGTTCTGACCCGTTTACTATCAGTATCATGTCCGGGCCACAAAAAGTCGCACACGGGTAGCGGCTCAGGGGCCCAGTAAGTCGCGGAATCGCCAAATGTCACAACCTGCGCCACCCAGGGCTGGACCTAGTCGTGGACACTGGGGACACTGCCACAGACTGATCTCTAAACGGCACAAACACCGCAAGTGTGCCGTTTCCACACAGAAGGTGGCTCATGTCATGCTGCCGCCACCGACGGCTGCCACCTCAGCCTTAAGCCCCACACGTTGGCTGCTCAGCCGAGGTAGGGACGCCCTTCTCACAGCCCCGGCGCCCATTTCTCGACCTTCTTGGGCAGCAGCTGGTTCGACTGGTCCTCTCCGTGGCCTAGGCAACCGGTCTCGCCCTCGCCCCAGGTAAAGACAGCGCCGTCGGCGGCGCGAGCGAGGCTGTGGCGGCGTCCGGCCGACACAGCGACGACGCGCCGCCCCGCCAAAGCGCCGACCTTCTTTGGCGGTAGCTGGTCCTGCTGATTGCCGTGGCCCAGCATGCCAAAGGCTCCACTGCCCCAGCTCCAGACAGCGCCGTCGACGGTGATGGCGAGGCAGTGAGCCCCTCCAACCGACACGGCGACGGCGCGCTGGCCAGCCAAAGCCTCGATCTTCTTCGGCAGCAGCTGGTCCTGCTGGTCGCCGTGGCCTAGCATGCCATTGGATCCAGAGCCCCAGCTCCAGACGGCGCCGTCGGCGATGATGGCGAAGCTGTGATGGGCTCCAGCCGACACAGCGACGACGCGCCGCCCCGCGAAGGCCTCGACCTTCTTGGGAAGCAGCTGGTCCTGCTGGTTGCCGTGGCCCAACCTGCCAGAGGCTCCCAAGCCCCAGCTCCAGACAGCGCCGTCGGCGGTGAGGGCGAGGCTGTGGAAGAGTCCAGCCGACACAGCAACGACGCGCTGGCCAGCAAAGGCTTCGACCTTCTTCGGCAGCAGCTGGTTCTGCTCGTTGCCGTGGCCCAGCACGCCACAGGCTCCCCAGCCCCAGCTCCAAACGGAGCCGTCGCCGGTGATGGCGAGGCTGTGGTTGCTTCCGCCCGAAACAGTGACGACGCGCCGGCCAGCCAAGGTCTCGACCTTCTTGGGCAGCAGCTGGCGCTGCAGGTCGCCGTGGCCCAGCTTGCCTAGCGCTCCATCGCCCCAGCTCCAGACGGCGCCGCTGCTGGTGATGGCGAGACTGTGGAGTCCTCCAGCCGCTACGCTCACGGCGCGCTCACCGCCCAGCGTGGAGGGGAGGCGCGTCGGCGTGATGAGCCGCGTCACGCCCTCGCCGTGGCCAAGGATGCCTGGGATGTGATCCGGCGGGCAGCCGCACGACGAGAGCCGCCCCTCGCCGTCGATGAAGAAGCTATGCTGATGGCCTGCCGCCGCCCTCGCCGGCGGGTTGGACTCGCACAGCAGCGCAGAATAGCACAGCCACCGCACGGCGCAGGGCTCGCCCTCGGGCTGCGCCGGCAGCTCGAAGCCGCGCTCTTGCGCCCACAAGCGGATGCCCTGCTCCGCGAGCGAGGAGTGAAAGAGCAGCGAGACGGCCGCGGCGCGAGCGATGTCGACGGGGCTGCGGCAGTGAGAGAGGACGCGCTCGAGGAGCTCCCTGGGGAGGTCGAGGAGGCGGGCGGGCGGCGGCGCGTCTGGCGAGGGCGCGGCGGCGGCGGCGGAGGCGAGGCGGCGCGAGCTGCGGCGCGGCGGGGTGGACATCGCGAAAAAAGAAAAAATTCTGGTAAGAAAACATGCGCGCCCCCTTTCCAGCTTCACACAAAAACAGCTTCACGCAGAGTTGGCTTTTGTTCCTCATCCAAAAATTCTTTCGTAGTCGGCTCCGGTGGTTTGCTCTGTGTGATAGTGCTAGCACGCGCCAGTCCGCACCTGTGTCTAGCCTGTCTGCTGTGAGTTGGGTTTGTTAAATTCTTTTGCGTTGTTAAATTCTTTGTAGTTGGGTACGGACTAGGGGCAAGAGCCCGCGACGCGCGAGGCGCGCCGGGGCACAAGCCCTCAGTCGACCTCAGGCTCAGCCCGCTTTCCGCCCGTTGCCCGGCATCGCGAGCGCGCGCTAGGTCGGCTCGGTCGATGCAAAGCACTGTCGACTTGACCGACACGTGGTGCTGCGGCGCCACGCCCTTGCTATTCTCCATTGTCAACGGCCCAGCGGAAACCCTCGCAAAGCTCGACCGCGACTATCCGTCGCTGGCAAAAATGGCGGCCGACCCGCACACAGCTCAACCCGGCTCAGACCTTTGTCAGCTGCTGCCTCGGGCTGCCATGGCCCGATTCGTGCAATCTCGGCACGGTGAATTGGTTCTCGCACCGGTCGCCGCTATGCGCGCTGTGCCCCGCCGCCGTCTGTCTGGGCTACATGAAGTGCTGCTTTGGGTTCACCGAGCTGTCGCTGCTGGAGAGCGGAGACGAGGTCTTCATCGAGATGCTCCAGCGAGGCGTGGCACCGGAAGAGTGCCCGGAGCGGCTAAAGGGCCTCTACAAAACCTCGCCAACGAGGTGCTAGTCACGTGGGGGGGCACTTGGAGCACTTGGAGTGCAGTCATCAACCGCACATCCAGGGCCGGGGAGCGGCAGCAATGACTGCGCTTGGCATGCAGGGTGGCACGGTCGCCGCGGACGCCGATCAGGCCGGCGAGGCGCAGCGGCCGCAGGTGGAGCCGCAGCCGCAGCGCAAGCAGCGCCGCCGCCGCATGTCGCACAACATGCAGTTCAAGCTCAAGCTAGTGAAGCTAGCCCTGGCTAGGCCTCCGGGCCATCGCATCAAACCAGTCTGCCGCGAGTTCCCTCAAGTGGAGCCGGTGACCCCGACCCCGCCCCGCACTTGCCCACTTGCCCCCTCCGCGCTTCCCAAGTGGCTAACGTGTATACGAGCCCTGCCATAGGTTCAGCTGCGTAAATGGATTCGAGCGTTCGAGGAGCAGGCGCGGCAGTCGATGGGGGAGTGCGACAAGACGATCCCCACGGCATCAGCGGTGCCGATCGCGCAGCCCGTGCCGTGTGTGCCAGTCGCGGTGCCTGCCACTCTACGGCATTGCTGTCCGCCTGCACATCTGCTCTATGGCATGGTGCCCCTGCCGGTGCTTTCACCGACGCCCACATTCACTGGCGCAGCAACCCTCGCGGTGCACCCCTTCGCTGGCCCCATCTTCGCCGCCCCTCCCTGTGCCGCGCCTGCCATCACCGCCAATGTTGTTGGGGCTGCCGCTCTCTTTCCTGCGTTGCCGTCCCCAGCGACCGCCTATGTGGAGGCGGTGCAGGGCACCCCAGCGCCGGGAAACAGTGATTCGGAGGCTGCGGAGAATCTCCTGCGCATATCAGAGGGCCATCTGTGCATGTGCCTGAGACCGAGCTGAAGACCGACCGCGAGGGCTGCCTCGTGCCGCTGCCGGAGAGCCTGAGAGTCAATACACATCTAGTGCTTGGCATGCATGTGTACAATTTCAATGACCGTCCTGCGGCCGGCGCGCTCCATGTCGAGATTTTGAGGCAGGGGGCCAGCGTGCTGGGATAGTAGTTGTAGCTAGCTAGAGTACATGTGTGCTTGTGGCGCTCGAGGCTCGACCTCGAGCACTCGAGAGCAACGTTCATCTTAGGGGGGGTTTAGGAGATTGGAGATCTAGCCGGTAACCCGATGCCGAGCGTCCGGCCAACTGGGTGCGCTCCTTAGCTCCCCGGTCCTGGACGTGAGGTTGATAACTGCACTCCAAGTGCTCCATAGGGTTACCTTAGCACGTGACGCACCTTCGCAAGATCATATGTATACGCCACACAGCTCAGATAGAGACAGGGGAGAGACACTCTACG